TGGCGTGTTAGATGCAGTTTGGGCAACGTAGAAGTTGAGGGTCCTGACTGAATCTCTGTATTTTGGGTTTCTTTAATTGCTTTTGGCCTATAAAGAGAAGGCACAGAATTATTCCTTCTTTAAACAGGGTGAATGATGGTTGTCTTTCTTCTGCTAAAACACAGAAAAAAAGTGATACTTGTCTTTATAATGACAGATATCTTACCCTACAAATAATCTCACTAGGGTGGAAGTCACTGTGGTGAGGACTATCAGAAGCTGGACCAAACTGTTCATGATTTATTCAGATGGGTAAAATCTCCAAAGGAGACACATAAACCCCATCTCTGTGGGTTTCTCCTCCTGACATTGAGCAGGACATGGGAACAACAGAAATAAATATTCTTCTTTTCAACAAGGAAAAAAAGATTAGGCAGTTCAGACCACAGAATTTTGTTTTGTGTAGCAAACTCTTAAGGGTGTTTAATCAGCTTATTCATCCATGATCTTTCTTCCCAACAGAGATTAATCTTAAAAGAGCAATCTAGTAACAAAGAGTCCACACCATCTAACTAGTAAGTTTTTGCTTGCCTACTATAATATGATTAGCATTACCTCAAATAATTAGTCTTTCTTCCTAATTGTTGAGTGTGGAAATGGTATTCACTATAATTGTTGTCTCCTCAGGCCTGTATATTTGTATATTCATTAAATTCCTGGTGTGCATCTTCTGTTGAGTGGTGCAAATAGCAATGAAAGCAACAGTAGCTTGTTGAGGGAAAGCTTGTTGTACATGTTTGGTTTCTGTTTTTGAAAGGCTCTGTGATTTCACAGATGAGGGGGGGAAAAAAAAAAAAAAAAAAAAAAAAAAAGAGGAAAAAGCAGGTTACTTTCCCTTGCAGCTCCCTCCAAAATGATCTGTGAAAAACTGCAGCATAAAGCTCTAGTTAAAATGAACCAGGCCAAATGGAAAACCTGTAAACCTGTGAGACTAGTATCCTATAACAAACCTGCTAAATTAAAACAAAAAAAGACAAATAATAAAAATAGAAGTAAAAATATACTAAGTGTGGCAAAATTGAACTTTTTCCAGTGTGTGTGAGAGAGACTGGGGCTGTAAACAGTTAAGCAGAAAAAAGCCTTTTTGTATTTTCCCTTTCTCCAAGGCTCCTGTAATCCATGCCAACACACTGAGCCTTCTAGTATTACTCTGTTAAGCAGTAGGGTGAGAATGTGACAGTAAAACAGATGACCGGACATCTCATACTAGTTGCACTTAATAGCAAAGTATTTTGTTTCACAGACATGTTAGGATAAATCAGTTCTAGGTATAGCAGAAGAGATTGCTAACAGAGATCTCAAAACAAAATGCTGCTATACCTGTATGAAATGCAAAGGTATGAAGAAGGAACCAGTGTTTGCCTGCCTACTTTGACCATTTTAATGATACTCACTCAGCAAAATAATTACAGTTTTGCTTAAATGTGTATTTTCCTTGTTGATTTGTTAGAAAAAGCCTATACAATGTTAACCATTCAGTTTTCACAGGTGTTCACCAAAATAACGTTAAGAGGTTCATCTTCTTTCAGTTGTATGATGCAGCATATGCATAGGCACACAACATTTCTTGGCAATCAGAGCAAGCTTCCATGTGGTATTAGACAGCAGAACTCCATAAATTTTGATGCACAAACATCAGGGCAACTCTGTTAATTTATGCCAACTCTCCTGGCTCAGTAGGAGAAGCATCGCTCTGCAGCAGAGCGACACTGGCCTGCTCCTCTATGGAGTTGATGGCTGAATTACAACTAATTATAGAGGCCATCAGGATCAGAAAATTCTATTATAAAATTGGCCCAGTTATCAGACTAATACCCCTGTTGACTTCAGAGCTGGGATCGTATTAACCAAATCAAAGAGAACACTTCACAAAGGACTTGTTTTTCTAACACGCTCAGTGAACTCTCTTTTGTATATTCAGGTGCACATCTTCCCTTCTCAGCTGCCCATTGTGACAAAAAACCTGGCTTCCAAAGGCCAGCAGAGAAGAACATCCTCACTGTGACACTTCATCCCTCCAACATTTTGATTCCTAGTTAAACAAAGCAATTCAGCCTGCATCCCAGCCTTGGAGATGGTCATGGCTGAGCTAGAACATTGCATTTTTTTCCTTCCAGAGTCATGTCTGTGATAGCAATAAAGTTTGCATATAATCTGAAAAAAATGTTGCATGAAGACTAGTTTATAAGTATCTGCATGCAAATTCTAACATTAGGAAAAATGAAATCAGTTGGGAAAGATGAACAGTCACATCTAGTCACAGACAATAAGCATAAGTGAGAAAGGGGGTGCAAAAAAGATCTCAAATCTAACAGTCACTGAGTTTGTTATTGCTCCTCCTTTGCCAGCAGCACATGGTGAAAAAAATACAGAGAGTAATGACTGAGGACAATACAGAACATAGAGCACTTAATTTTATCTTGTGAGAGAACACAATATTGCAATTGTATTATAATGCAAGAAAAAAAAGGCAGTAACACAAGGTGCAGCTAACTTGCAATCAAGTAATGTTGCTCAAGTAGAAACCTTCTTTTATCCTGGACACATGACAACACGATGCCATCACAAAATTGATCAATGTCACTAAGAAGCAGTATTGATTCAGTACTAATTAACTTGACTGAGGTTTTTTTCTTATTTGTGTCATGGGAAACCGCAAATTTCAGGGAACATTTTTAGGTCAGTGTGTAATTTCAAGACCTGCAAGTAGTAGTACATGGATCATATCAAAACACAGGACACACTCAGAAGAATTGTATTGTACATGTGTATCAAGACAGCATCAGTTCCAGGTGCTGTTAAACAATTGGAAACAACGAGAAAGCTATTTTTTTTTTTTTGTGAGAAAAAAAAATAAAAGAAATGTGTCATATGAAAGATCTTGCTTCTTCAGAAATTATTATTATTATTATTATTAATAGTCATCATCATCATCTCAAATTGTTTAAATGAACAGTGGAAAAATCCAAAGAATTATAACATCAGTATTTTGGAGGGAATACATCAAGCAAACTGAAAAGCCTTTGACTTGGGAAGATGGTGCTTCTGCTGAGTTTTCAGAAGATGTGATTAGAGCATGCCAGTGGCCAAGAATGCAGATAATAATACTCCCTAGCAGGTGCCAGGAAGTCCAGGCAACCTAAGGGCAGGGAAGTCTAGTCTCTGTGAAGGGCTGTGAGGACCAAGATTTGTGGTATAAGCAGCAGCAGGCACAAATTCATAATTGTTTTTGTTTGGTTTTGGGAATAAACTACTTACTGAGTTAGTATGAGACATACACTGAAAACTTCTCTATGTTGAAACATTTTTTGATTTGTGCAGTTGGAAAAAATATTGCTTGCTGACCAATATAAATTTATTTTCATATGGAAGTACAGCACAATTTAAAAACACAAACAATACCTATTTATTTGCAATGGATAATCCAGCCAATATGCAATGATTTATTCATTTATTTCATATCAATTAAGAGTAGCCACTAACTAGGAGTTTAGACAAAACTGCTTTTAAAAAAGTCCTTATTGGCTCCATCACCTAGAAAATTTTGTTCTATTTCCTTTTGAAAATATCAGCAATTTTATACAAGAATAGAAATTATATTTAAATCTTAAACTGATTTTAGTTATATGCTGCAAATCCAGATTAAATTACTCTCAGGAAACATTGGAGATCTGCAGAGCAGCACCAAATCAACACATCGTGTTCAACTTCACTTGAACTGCAAGATTTCTGTAGAAGACAACTCCCCACCAACCTAAACTCTGTCTCTAAGACTGAAATGTAAACGAGGATCTAGTGATGACAACACTCCAGAAAGCTCAGAGCATCATTATTTACCTTAAGCAGAAAGGCTGCTGAGGAACTAGAGACATATGACTCTGCAAGACTGGCAAATGAAGCTGCAAAAAAGCAAAATGCTTTACTGGGCCACTTGTGGGGGTCTTACTTACCTCCTTCTCCCTTCCTTTGTAGACAAAAACATGAAACAGGATGACAAGATCAACACAGCCAGAATAGAGGCTTAGAAAAAGTGTGAATGTGTGTGTCCTGGGAGTAGGAAGGGAGGAGTTCCTGGAGCGCAGCCTGCACTTAACAGCCACCCAGAAGCACATACAATGATGTGCTCTTAGGAGCAACAAGGTCAAAGGATGAGAGATACCAGCAGAGGAAAAGAATAGCAAACGGGGTAGAAGAGAGAGGCAGGTTCTTGATCTTCTGTATTTTAAGGATCAGGTCTAGGCAGAGCCTGAAACAGCTCAGCAGAAAACGTGTACTTTGCAAAGAGATCTAGTACCTCTGCTCTGCATAAGAACTAAGAGGTATTTTAATTCCATAACAAATAAATCAATTAGATCTTTGTTAAATGATCAAATTTTGACTGCAAGTAGGCTAGAGCACCATGAAAGAAAAGATGTTCAGTGAGGTGCTTAGGCTGTTTCCAGACACATTAGTCAGAGCGGGTGAGTGAAAGAGCTGCAATATTGTAGAAGAACCTTTATTACTAGTTATCTACTTCAGATAATTACTGCAGAATGGGGCTCTACTTTGGCAACAACAAAGTAGAAAATCAGATATTTTTTTCCTTATAAAGGCAAACTGCAAATGTTTTGGTAGGTAGCAAAGAATTATCTCATGTGCTAGAGCTTTACTGGCACATGCCAGGAAAAGTTAATACTGTTGACTATTACTGGAGAAACGACTTGAAATGTACTGAATCTGTTAGTTTCCTCTATCTGGTGTCGATCAGAAACATACTGAGACTAAGTGTTTTCTCTCTGTTGAAATGCTGAGAGCAACATTACCCCATTTACCCTCACAGCTGACTGCTCCTCTCCCAGCTGGGAACGCACAGTGTTGCAACCAGACAGAGCAGAAAGGAGCACCAAAGTCTACAGAATGATGTAGGAGGACCTATCGACCCAACGGTGATTCACACTCATCATTCAACCTCAAAGACAAACCGCAAACTGCGTTTGTCCCGAAGGCAGCACAGGGGGTCCCGCCGATAGCGCTGCTCCGAGGGTGTTTGCCTCAGAGACCATCCGGGCCAGCTCTGTCCCTGCCGAACACATCACGGTCTCCCGGGAGGGATCCTCCGGACAGGCCTAGCGCCCCACATCCCCTCACGGGAAGCCGGGGAAGCGGGACGAGCCGCCCTGAGACCTGCC